ACTAGGGTTTTCGGGGCCCGCGGCCGGAGTCATTTTTATTCGGCCGAAACAATCGGACGGCCGTCGGATCAGATCCAACGGTGCCGGATGCACGGGCCCACGAGCGCCAGTGTGGGGAAGCGCGCCGCTGGCAGTTTTTGGCAGCCGAGCCTAGGTTGCGGCTGGGTGCGGCTGCTTCTTGTGAGAGAGAGAAGCGGCCGAGCTGGTTTTACCGGTTGGGCGAAAAAAGGAAAGAATCAAGATCAGTTTTTTCTTTCCAAGAATTGCTAATTACGGAAAATGAAAAATATATCAAAGAAAATATGAAAAGTGATTTTACTGTGGGTAAAATTCAAGAAATTGAGCATATGTTTTTCATTGCGAAAGAAAAGTACATCCTCCAAATGATTTTGAACCGACATGATATTTAATTGGAGAAAAGAAAAGTTTTTCCAGAAAATGTTTATTCCCTGGAAATTGATTAATGGATTAAAGAAAATAGAAAAAGAAATTTTCCCTGTGGGTAAAATTAAAGGAAAAGAGAGTTTTCCCACAGCTAAAGAAAAAGTATATTCTCCAGTTATATTGAACCAACATGCTATTTACTTGGAGAAAAAGAAAAGTTTTTCCGCTGCTAAAGAAACTGTTGATTCTCCAGTTATTTTGAACCAATGTGGTATTTAATTGAAGAAAAAGAGTTTTGATATAATTACGATGTTGTTATTTTCTGACCAACGTCGTTAATAACAATATCGTAATGTTAATGATTTATGCATTAATTCTGCTTCTGCCCAACGGTGATGTAGAATTAGTGTATAAGAAAAGTTGATAATGTTAATGATTTATGCATTAATTCTGCTTCTGCCCAACGGTGATGTAGAATTAGTGTATAAGAAAAGTTGATAATTTTAATGATTTATGCATTGATTCTACTTCGCTATAGCGGTGATGTAGAATTAGTGTAAGAAACAGTTGTCAAAGTTAAAGATTTATGCATTAATTCTATTTCTGCCCAACGGTGATGTAGAATTAGTGTATAAGAATAATTGTATGTTTTGATTTTGACCAACGTTGGAATCAAGGCATGCAAATGATGTGTTAATTTTATGTTAAGAAAAGATTTGACATGGTTTTCATCTTGTTTAAGGTAGACTGGGTAGTCACCTCACCGTGTTCCACTGAGTTTGTGGCACCGGTGAGGGAGACAAAAGAGAATGATGCCACTTGGACAACTAAAGAAAGGGATTTTGAATCCCAAAAGATATCCTATGGCTTTTGAGCATAGGAAGTGGGTCACTGCAAACAAGAAATGTTTGGCTGTGATAAAGAACATAATTGAACCTACAATTGTGGGCTCAATCCCAGAATGTGACACGGTCACCAAGTACCTCGATAGAATAAAGAGCAGTTCACTGGCTCTTCAAAGATATGCCACTTAGCTGATAAAGCTAGTCACAGAGTGTTACTCTGGAAATGGTGGCATAAGAGAGCTCACGATGCGTTGTCGAAATTATGGCACTGTTGTTTAGGCCATATTTCGAGGGAGAGAATAAAAAGACAAGTTAAGAATGATATTCTTCCTCCATTAGAGCTCTCAGATTAAGTTCAATGCAGAGAATGCATAAAAGGAAAGTATGTAAAGAAAGATGACAAACGAAGCACAGGAATTTTACATATTATTCACATTGACATCTGTGGTCAGCTTTCCTGTAAAGAGTGTGGATGGTTATGATCCATTCACAGATGGAAGATACTCCCATTATGACTATATTTATCCAATCAAAGAAAGAAAAGATGTATTGGATAAATTTAAGATATTAAAGATTAAGATAGTCAGGTCTGACCGTGGGGGAGTACTACGGTCGGCATACCCTAAAAGAATGGCATAGTAGCTCAGTATTCTACACCGAGCGAACCTCAGCAGAATAGAGTATCTAAAAGAATCAATCGTACCCTGATGGATATGGTGGGCAGTATGATAAGTTACTCCACCTTACAGTTGAACCTGTGAATGAAGGCGTTAAAACCGCCATTTATATTCTCAATAGAGTATCAAGAAAGTCGGTGCCCAAAACACCGTATGAGTTGTGGACAGAAAGAGTACCCTCACTAAACCACTTGCGTGTGTGGGGGGGAGCCCTGCTGAGGCTAAAGTATTTAACCCAAATATTGGAAAGTTATATCCCAAAACAGTAAGTTGCCATTTTATTGGCTACACAGAAAAGTCAAAAAGTTTTCGTTTTCTACTGTCCAGAGAGACATATAAAGTTTGTGGAAAACAAGACACGCTGTCTTCCTAGAGGACAAATTGATGAGGGGGAGCATGGTAGCTCGAGAAATTGACCTTGAAGTGAAGCGGGTGTAAGCGCCCACTCCAATGATTTATGAGCCAATTTTCTCACTACCTGCTGTAGCTGCACCGACAGTGCTAGATACTGTGGTGCCAGCACCTGTTGTTATCCCACCTGTGGCAAAAATGAGTGAAAATGAGGAACCTGTTCTTCAGGATCCAATAGAACCAATTACCACACATGAGGGGGAGCAACAACAGCCTCAAACAGAAGATGTGCCAAATATGGAGGCCCCTAAAAGGTCTCAAAGAGTTAGAAAATCAGCTATTCCTGCTGATTATGAAGTGTACAACACTAAAGAATTTCAAATGGAGGATTATCAAAGCCTTGTTTGAAGAAGCCATGAGTAGTGATCAGTCATCAAAGTGGCTTAAGGCCATGGAAGATGAAATGAAATCATTGAATGCCAATAAAGTTTGGGACTTGAAAATAATTCCTAAAGGAGCCAAAACAGTAGGCTGTAAATGGGTCTACAAGACAAAACTTGACTCTCAAGGGAATATAGAGAGATATAAAGCCCGACTTGTGGCAAAAGGCTTTGTGCAAAGAGAAGGGATTGATTACAATGAGACCTTTTCTCCAGTCTCATGTAAGGATTCTTTCAGAATAATAATAGCATTAGTGGCACATTACGATTGAGAATTATATCAGATGGATGTAAACACGGCATTCCTCAATGGAGACTTGGAGGAAAATATTTACATGGCACAACCGGAAGGTTTTGTCATGGAAAGAAAAGAACGAATGGGATGCCGCCTAAAGAAATCCATTTATGGATTAGAACAAGCTTCAAGACAGGGGTACTTGAAGTTTGATCAGACAATAAAGAATTTTGAGTTTTAAAGAGAATGTAGAGGACAATTGTGTCTATGCAAAGTTTAAGATTGGGAAGTTTATCTTCCTTATCCTGTATGTAAATGATATCTTACTTGCTAGTAGTGATGTCAGTCTACTACAGGAGACAAAGAAGTTTTATTCTCAAAACTTGATATGAAAGATCTTGTCGAAGCCTCGTTCGTTCTAGGGATCGAGATTCACCGAGATAGGAGAAAAGGGTATAATGACTGTCACAAAAGGCATACATGGAAAAGATCTTAAAGAAATTCAGTATGCACAAATATAGTCCCTCACCTGCTCCTGTAGTCAAGGGCAACGGATATGGGGATTTTCAATGCCCCAGGAACCAATATGAGCTCAATCGATAAAGAGAAAGTGGTTCCATATGCTTCAGTTGTCGGAAGCTTGCAACATGCTCAAGTATGTACGCGCCCTGACTTGGCATTTGTTACCGGGTTTTACTTGGCAGATTCCAGAGCAATTCTGGAATAGAACACTAAAATTAGTAAAGAAAGTCTTTCATTATTTGCAACGAACGAAAGGCCTCATTATGACATATAGAAGATCTGATTCACTCCACATGGTGGGATATTCAGATTCTGATTATGCGAGGGTGAATGCATATCCAGACGTGGATTTTCTATCATCTCGCAAAAGTGAGCTATTTCATGGAAAAGCTCAAAGCAAACCGTCACTACATCGTCCACAATGTATGACAGTTTGTAGCGTGATATGAGGCAACGGGCAGGTGAACTGACTAAAGAAGTTCATACCCGGTTTGAAGGTGGTTGACGACATCTATAAACCACTTAAGAGATACTGCGATAATAATCAAGCAGTACAGTATACTCACAACATAAGTCAAGTGGTGCTGCCAAACACATTGACATAGAGTATTATGTTGTGAAAGATATAGTCCGGGATCAAGTCATAAATCTTGAGCATATAAGAACAGAAAGGATGCTCGCGGATCCGCTTACAAAAGGCTTATCACCCAACATGTTCAGAGGACATGGTGTTCAGAGAACATGTAACTAGCTTGGGTTTAAGGGAAAGCCTAAAATATTCCTGGACAAAAGAAGGCCCAAAGATAAGTATCTATTTCAGAACAGAGTAGTGAGTTGTAGCTGTTAAGTCTATCGGCAATGGACCGTGACGATGAGACATGCTCTATGAGCTAATCTGTAATGGAATAAACAAAAGTAAATAATATGAAAGTGAAAGATGGAATGAGATCAAGGGGGAGAATGTTAGTTGATCTCCACCAATAGACCCAACGGCCTATTGGGCCCTTGGCTCTGCTCCCTGATCGGGGGAGCCCAACCCTAACTGGTTGGTGGGCCCCTGTCGCACAGCACATACAAATAGAGAAGGTGGGGATCGAGCTCAGAATGAGAGGTTCACTGGAGCCGCCATACCCACCTACAGAAACCCTAATACCGATCTAAAGAGCTGCTGCCAGCGACGGGATGTGCCCCAACCACCGCCGTCTTCCACTGCAGGACACCGCCGACGTCACTAGACTTCATCTCGCCGGCGCTGGACGTCTTCTACACCGCGACACTGGCTGCGGTGCATCTACTGAAGGGCTAGGAGCCTACTCGGATCTACGGGTTACACAGAAAGGTACTCACATCGATCCTAACAGGTTATACCATAATTGAAAGGCTACCATCAAGTATCACGACACTGGAGAACCTGGAGTGTTTGGACCTTTATAGCTGTTCTGAGTTGGTAGAGTTGCCTGAAGGCATAGGGAACTTGAAGAAGCTTGTTGTTTTGGACCTGAGAGAATGTGAAATGTTACGAGCCATTCCAAAATGGATTGCACAGCTTACTCGACTTGAAACGCTGGGACTATTTGTTATCGGAGAGGATAACGAAAATGATGCACAAACATCTGAGCTTGAAAACATTAATAAGATTAGAGGGGAACTAACTATCCATGGTATTGGACATTGTATAGACCTAGATGTTGCACACAAGGAATTGTTGAAGCAGAAGACAAACTTGCAGAGCCTGACACTAACTTGTGCAAGTGATGTGGGGGCGAAGTCTAAAAATCAACTGGAAGGGTTGGAACCACCGCCTGGAATTGATAACCTCAAAATTGTCGGGTATTCAGGTCAGGAATCCATGCAGTGGATGTTGAAGCACAGAGGTGCAGAAGTAGCAGGGCTTCCTCGCTTCCAGACTGTTGAGCGAGATGGAACTATCAGATTTCCCAAAATTGGAGCGTCTGGAGGGGCTAACAGAGTTGCCTTATTTGGAGAAGCTTGTGCTAAGAAAAATGACTGCTCTTAGAAGCATAAGCGGAGGTCCATTTCCTTCATTGTTGGAGTTATATATGAATGGAATGCCAAGTTTGGGCGTGGTTTGGATGGTAACAGAAGAAAGCTTGGCTGATGTAGAAGGGGGGCAACTGCAGATTGGTAATCGTCTATCATTTCTAACTATATCGGAGTGTCCCAAACTGATGGTGATGCCATACTTTCCTTCATCGCTGAAGGACTTGCATTTGGTTAAGAGCAACGTGCAGCTGTTGGGACTGCCAGGCGTAGACCAAAGGTCCTCATTGCCTTCAAGTAGTGCAGGATTGCCTTCTTTTAGTTTTAGCCGCCTAAAGGAGCTTGTACTGGAAGGCATGGCACCACCAGCAGGAGCAGCATCGTATGGATCTGGATGTCGATGGGAGCTGCTGCAACACTTGATAGCACTGGAGTCCTTGAGAATTGATAGTTGTAATGGCCTAACCGAGCTGCCGGAGAGCATGCGGAGCCTCGCATCCCTCCGAACCCTGCGGATTATAAGATGCCGACCTCTCTGTATGCTTCCTGAGTGGCTTGGGAGCTCTGTTATCTGGAAAAGATGTACGTTTCGGGGTGCAGTAGTTTGAACCTTGCTCCACCAATGCAGCCGCTCAGGGCCCTCAAAGCACTGCATATTTTCAAGAGTGGGTGGGTGGGGGACCTCTGCTCTCCGTCTCTGCAGACTCCACGGATTCATGGTTACGACAGCGTTAGTAGCCTCCCTCAGTCATTCAGCCAGCTCACCTCACTCACCAATCTCGTAATAAGCGATTGTGAGTTTCACCAGCTGCCAGAATGTCTCGGAGAGCTCCGCTCTCTACAAATGCTACACATCGAGGCATTATGTAGGCTGAGCAGCCTTCCACAATCATTGGGGTACCTCACCTCCCTCCAGGAGCTCAAAATTGGAGTCTGCGATGCACTTGGCCAACTTCCCGAATGTGTTGGGGAACTTCGATGTCTACGCGTATTCAAGATTAAGGAGTTGCCGAGCCTAACGTGCCTTCCCCAATCATTGGTGCGCCTCACCTCCCTCCAGGAGCTCGAAATAGGAATGTGCCGAGCACTTGGCCAACTCCCCGAATCGCTGGGGGAACTCCGCTCTCTAAACTTCTGTTCGGTTCCTGGGGAACCGTGGCCGGGAACAAATCCAGCTAGGAATACGTGTCTAATTTGTATAAGCTTCCTCCAGACAGAATGGTTCCCGCCTCTGTTCCAGGCCAAACGAACGAGCCCTAAGTAAATTCTAGTGGAATTCCCTCTGTGTTATTAAAAAAGATCACAACGTTCTGTGTGTCTCTGAAAAAGTTCAGCGGTCTTTAGTGCTACTGCTCCAATTTTTTTGTGCCCTCCATACCACTGTCGTCAGTTTGGGCTCCAACGCCATTAAACTGCAGGTGTGAAAAGTCAAAAATACCCTTAAATCTAAATATGTCATTAATTTTTTTGGACATCTTAATGGCTTCAAATGAAAAAACTCAAAACTATAAAGTTATAGATCTCGTCGAGATCTATAATTTTCATATAAAAATTATCTTTATTTAATTCCGCAAAAAAAAATGATTTGATATGATTAATATATCTTAGAAAAATCATTTTTTTGCGGAATTAAATAAAGATAATTTTTATATAAAAATTATAGATCTCGACGAGATCTATAACTTTCTAGTTTTGAGTTTTTTCATTTGAAGTCGTTAAGATGCTAAAAAAAATTAATGACGTATTTAGACTTAAGGGTATTTTTGACTTTTTACTGCTGCAGTTTGACGGCGTTAGAGCCCAAACTGACAGCAGTGGCATAGAGGGCACAAAAAAGTTAGAGCAGTGGCGCTGAAGACCGCTGAACTTTTTCAGAGACACACAAGGCATTACGATCTTTTTTAATGGCACACAAGGAATTCTCTCTAAATTCTACATATGGTGCTTGCCGGACCGGATTTCTGCTCCTGAATCGATGTGCTGCCTCACCTCCCTTGAAGAGGACTGCTCCTGCGTCTGTCGGCCGAAGGCGGCGGCGGCGGACAAGACGCTGGAGACAGCCGATGCTACACAACACCGACTTCCCCGGCGACGCTGCAGCCGACAACGGTGAGGTTTCCGGCACCGCTACGGCGCCGGAAACTACTATCGCAGCAGACTGTGCTACCAGGGAGGGTCACAGTGAGCCCACCAGCAACTCCGATGCTCGGCCGGCGGACCACGGTGCTTCTCGTGGCGCTTGTGAGACCGTGCCGAACAGCGTCGTTTCGCCGGTGGTGGGCGGCGACACCAACGACGTAGGCATCTCGGGAGGTCATGACGGCGCTCCGCGGCCGGCCGGGCGTAGCCTCTCCGCCGCGTTGCTTGCTTCGCTTTCTCGAGGCAGACCCGCTGGTCTTGGAGCCCTGCGTGGGTGTGGGACCTCCCGCGTGGGTGGACCCGATGCTGGAGGAGCTCACCGCCTCGCTCGTCGCGAGCCGGCCAGCGGGACCAACAACGCCATGGAGCCCCACTAATCCAGCGGGCGCCCCTAACGACGGATTCGCCCCGTTGTCGCCGAAGTGGAGATGCCGCGCAAGTCACGCCACCACGGGTGGGACAAAGACGACATTGCGGATTCGGAGGTTCTGAGCTTGAGCTGTTGAGGCGCAGCCGTGGATCATCGATTGACGATGAAGGCCACAATGCTCAACCTCCATCGGCTGAGGTGTCCCTGTTGGCACAATTGGAGGCGCGGGTATACATCCCGCTCGAGACCCCGTTGCTCAGCAAGTCGAGGCTGAGAAGGTCTAGGACACCTTCAATGGTGATGTCAGTGTGTCGGAGTGGGAGGCTGGCTGCTAAGACCAAGGCCTCCAACCCAACTATCCAAGCACAAAATGTGCTCAAGCAAAAGCTGGGGATCGCAGATATGTCGCAGGGTCCGAACCCTGTGGCTTTGGACGGTATCAAGGCCTTCTTCGCTGCGCCGTTGTCGCCCTCCAAACAAGAGGCCCTTCAGGCGCTCTTCGCTCCAGACTTCAATCCGGTTGCTATGGAGCTGAACCTCACTGGCTTCGAGCACGACGCTCTTTAGCCGCTGAGCTCAGGGCCTGCTGGTTTTTGTCCCTGTGCTTGATCCTTCTCTTGGTCGCTAAGTATTTTCTTTTGTAAATCACAACTGTGTGATCTCTGTCAGTGTTTGGCTCGATAATCACAAATTATCGTCCCAGCTTTAATTTATAAAACTCTCCTTCTGCTTAATGAATACCGTGCCATTCCAATGGCACGTTCGAGAAAGAGCTTATTATCGCGGACTGCAAGGGTATTAGATCCTTGTCGGAGTGGATTAGAGGCCTTACTGCTCTGCAGACACTGGAGATCTCTGGCTGCCCTGATATGGAGAAGCGCTGCGAGAGAAGGAAGGGGAAGCTGGCACTTCATCTCCCACATCCCTCATCTGAGGATTGGGGAAGCAGAAACCCATTATTACCATTATTTCTTCGGGTGGTGAGTTCATTAGACTCTGATATATTATATATTTCTCAACGCCATTGCTGTTAGTACTCGAGATACCAACACCGTCAACTGATTGCAGCAAGCAAAAGCACATTTCAAAAAGGAAATTCTCCCTTTGTGCCTTCCTTTTTCTAACACACAAAAGGGTCCAAGCACAACCTGACAAACATGAAACTCACAGCAGATGCATGTGCAAGGTTAATTTGAACTCTGATTTCAGGTACACCAGGCGTATTTGTATTGATTCATTTCACTGTGGAGGTGTGCAATACGATAGTTCAAGCTCATTGTGCTTTTGTAAAGTACATGGTTTGGTCACATCATGTTGTGCGGTGTCTTCAAGATAGAGTGTCAGGCCTTTTCTAATGATGCAAGGTACATGAACGGAGATAAATCCGAACTCCTAAAGTACTGTGGAAATGTTTTGCAATGTTTTGTTGGAAAATTTCTGCTGCTATTAATATGCTTCAGTTCATCAGATGTGTACTACTAGTTGTTAGAGTCTTTGTTATTTTGTACAAAGCTAAGCACCCAAAATTGACATAGAAAAGAGCATGCTGTGAAGCTACTTTTTTTTTTCAAAGGAACCTGAAGCTACTTAATGAAAAGGAATTTTAATCAGTTATCATGTTCAGGCAAAGATTATTATGCAGTTTGAATCTTCAAGTACCACGAGCAGTTACAATTGTTTTGCTTTAGTAATTGCACTGCTGCGGATGGAGATGTAAAAAAAGAAGGAAAACAAATCTGAATAATTTGAGTATGGTTTAACTTAAAATAATTGCATACTATTGGAGACCCAATGAAATCTTCGGGGCATCATTAAGCTGTCATAAAACGGTGTGGGGAGAAGCGTATGAAGAACTTGAGCCTATGGATGTAAGAAAGTTCAGTCGTATCTTTTACAGCTGGCAATTATTTCAGCAAAGTTTTGGAAATGCTATGAAAGATTTGGACTCTGAATTTCAAGAAGTTGGGAAAGAGATTGTGAACAAGTGCGTTGGGGTGCCACTAGCAATTAAAGTTCTTGCAGGGGTCCTCCGCGTTAAGAAACGATTAGAACAATGGCAAGCCATAAAAGAGAGTAATTTATTAGATGTTGAGGGTAGAGAACGTCAAGTATCTGCCTGCTTGTGGCTTAGCTATTTTAATATGCCATTCCATCTAAAGCAGTGTTTCACTATATGTTCAATTTTTCCTAAAGGTTACTGGATTGATAAAGACCAATTGATTGACCAATGGATTTCTCTTGATATGGTCATGGAAGATGTTGTCAAGGACCTGGAAATTATTGGCAATGATTACTTTAATCAACTTGTGCAAATGTACTTTATACAAGATGTGAAGGAAAGAAATGGTGAGAAAGTTAAATGTAAGATGCATGACTTGGTGCATGATCTTGCCAGATCCATTTTGGGTGATGAAATTTCACTTGTTGTACCGAAGAAGGCAGTCGATTTCACGAAGATCTGCCGGTATTTTTCAATAACAGAACACACAAGACATCTTCCCCCCAGAAAATACATTTAGAAAGGCACGTGCTATGTATATTGCTGAAGACGATGATTTCATATTTGGGAAGTCATTGAAGAAAGCAAAACACTTGCGCAGTATCACTGTGGAAAATGTGCATACATCAGCGCTCACAGCCATACTACAGACCAAAAATTTAAGGTACCTTAGCATTTCAGGATTGAGATATGAACCACTTCCTGAGGTTATTTCAGAAATCTGGAGTCTGCAAGCTCTTCATGTAACGTCAAGTAATCTTGTCAAGTTACCTGAATCCATTGGTAAGCTGCAGAAGTTGATAGTGGTGAACTTGTCATACTGTTGGCACCTAACAAGTTTGCCAGATTCTATTGGCACTTGTGTCATGATTTCTAGCATAGACCTTTTTGGTTGTAAGAAGGTTGCAACGCTACCCAGCTCTATCAGCAGAAACAAAAGGCTAAGGGTACTGAGACTAGGTCGTACCAAACTTGAGAGGCTACCATCAAGTATCACGGCACTAGAAAACCTGGAGTGTTTGGACCTTCATTGGTGTTCCAAGTTGATAGAGTTGCCTGAAGGCATAGGGAACTTGAAGAAGCTTGTTGTTCTGAACCTGCAAGGATGTGGAAAGTTACGAGGATTCCAAAGGGATTGGTCAGCTTACTCGACTTGAAACGCTGGGATTATTTGTTATGGGGGAGGATGATGAAAATTATGCACATATCTCAGAGCTTGAAAACATTAATAAGATTAGCAGGGAACTAACTATCCATGGTATTAGACATTGTATGGACCCAGATGTTGCACACAAGGAATGTTTGAAGCAGAAGACAAACTTACAGAGCCTGACACTTATTTGTGCAAGTGATGTGGGGGTGAACTCTGAAAGTCATCTGGACGGGTTGGAACCACCGCCTGGAATTGGAAACCTCAAAATTGTCCGGTATTCTGGTCAGGAATCCCCGCAGTGGATGAGGATGTTTCGCTTCCGGCTGTTGTGCGAGATGGAATTATCAGATTTCCCAAAATTGGAGCGACTGGAGGGGCTACCGGAGTTTCCTTGTTTGGAGAAGCTTATGCTCAGTGGAATGCCTGCTCTTAAAAGCATAAGCGGAGGTCCATTTCCATCGCTGCTGAAGTTATTCATCATGGGTGGAATGCCAAGTTTGGGCGTGGTATGGATGGTAACAGAGGGGGGCATGGCTGATGTGGAAGGAGGACAAGTGCAGATTGGTAATCATCTATCCGTTCTAGCTATATCAAGGTGTCCCAAACTGATGGTGATGCCATGCTTTCCGTCGTCGCTGAATGACTTGAGTTTGAGGTGGAGCAACTTGCAGCTGTTGGGACTGCCTTCCAGTGGTGCAGGATTGCCTTCTTTTAGTTTTAGCTGCCTAAGGGCCCGTTCGTTTACGTCGATTTTCGGTCAGAACGCTTCCCGGTGATAGCTGACCGGTATAAAATACAGCTGCCTTCCGGCCAGGATTGGTTCCGGCACTCCGTTCCGCTTGAAACGAACGGGCCCTAAAGGAACTTGAACTAAATGATATGGCACCACCACCAGGAGCAGCATCGTACGGATCTGGGTGTCGATGGGAGCTGCTGCAACATTTGACGGCACTGGAGTCCTTAGCGATTAGGTTGTGCGATGGCCTAATCGAGCTGCCAGAGAGCATGCGGAGTATCGCATCCCTCCGAACTCTGCGCATCTCATTCTGCAGCTCTCTCTGTATGCTTCCGGAGTGGCTGGGGGAACTCCGTTACCTGGAAACGATGAGCTTTTTCGACTGCAGTAGTTTGAGCCCTGCACCATCAATGCAGCCACTCAGGGCCCTCAAAGCACTGGATATTTCTAACAGTAGGTGGGTGGATGACCTCTGCTCTCCGTCTCTGCAGACTCTAGTGATACATATTTGTGACGGCATAAGTAGCCACACCCAATCATTCAGGCAGCTCACCTCACTCACGGATCTCCAAATATTAGGTTGTCGTGACTTCCACCAGCTGCCAGAATGTCTCGGAGAACTCTGCTCTCTACAAAAGCTAGACATCAGGGGATTACCCAGGCTGAGCAGCCTTCCACAATCATTGGGGCACCTCACCTCCCTCCAGGAGCTCCGAATCGAATACTGCGATGCACTTGCCCAACTTCCCGAATGTGTTGGGGAACTTCATTCTCTACGCATATTCAAGATTTGGCAGTTGCGGAGCCTCAGGTGCCTTCCCCAATCACTGGGGCACCTCACCTCCCTCCAGGAGCTCAAAATAACATACTGCGAGGCACTTGGCCAATTGCCCGAATCGCTGGGGGAACTTCGTTCTCTACGTGTACTCACAATTAGTCAGTCGCACAGCCTAACTTGCCTTCCGCAATCATTGGGGCACCTCACCTCCCTCCAGAAGCTGGGAATTGCATACTGCAGGGAACTTGGCCAACTGCCCAAATCGCTGGGGGGACTCCGCTCTCTAAGTAAATTGGTGCTATGGTGGTTGCCGGGCCTGACTTCCGTTCCTGAATCAATGTGCTGCCTCACGTCCCTTGAAGAGCTTACGATCATGGACTGCCCGGGCATTTGATCCTTGTCAGAGTGGATTAAAGGCCTTACTGCTCTGCAGACACTGGAGATCGATGGCTGCCCTGATGATATGGTGAGGCGCTGTGAGAGAAGAAACGGGAAGGACTGGCACCTCATCTCCCACATCCCTCATCTGAATATTGGGCTAGGCGCAGCCCATTATCACTTGGACTTCGACTGGTGAGTTCATTAGACTCTGAAGATTGGTGCCCTTTACTTGTGCAGTTCACTGGCCAATCTAATTCCTCATCCACATTATTATGATTTGTTCATTGCAGATGTTCAAGGTCTACATTCGGTTCAAGTTTTGTGATACAGTTTGCTTTGGGCGTGTGCTCTCTGATGTCTGCATTGTGCATATGTGAACACTCTTACAGTGTTATGGGTATCCAAACTCCAGTTGTATTGATATGCACCCAGAATTCTGAGGTATTATATATTTCTCAACACCATTGTTGTTAGTACTCAAGCATGCATACTAACAGCGTCAACTGACAATGCAAGCAAAAGCACTTTTGAAAAAGGTAATTCTCCAGTTTCATTGTGCTTCCTTTTTTCTAACACACAAAAGGGTCCAAGCACCACCTGACAAACACCAAACTCACAGCAGATGCATGTGCGAGGTTAATTTGAACTCTGATTTCAGGTACACCCGGCGTATTTGTATTGATTCATTTGACTGTGGAGGCGTGCAGTACGATAGTTCAAGCTCATTGTGCTTTTGTAAAGTACATGGCTTGGTCACATCATGTTGTGAGGTGTCTTCAAGATAGAGTGTCAGGCCTTTTCTAATGATGCAAGGTACATGAACGGAGATAAATCCGAAGTGCTATGGAAATGCTTTGCAATGTTTTGTTGGAAAATTTCTGCTGCTATTAATATGCTTCAGTTCATCAGTTGTGTACTACTAGTTGCTAGAGTCTCTGTTATTTTGCATGCTGTGAAGCTACTTTTTTTTCAATGTAACCTGAAGCTAATTAATGAAAAGGAATTTTTAATCAGTTATTATGTTCAGCGAAAGATTATTATGCCGTTTGAATCTGCAAGTACCACGAGCAGTTACAATTTGAGTATGGTTTAATTTTAAATAATTGCAAACTAGTTCAATTGTATCTTTCAGAGCTACTAATTTGCTCTTGTGGAGACAAGTCAACAGATTTATATGTAAAGTGAGCAACCCAAAAGCTATACAGAGCATCAACCTTGGGGTCTGTTTTAGTGTTTTGCCACGAAGAAATGCATTAATCAAGGTGATTATAAGTCAAATAGAGTATATCAACATGATGAATATATTCCAGAATAGCTCTAAACTTGGTTTGCCATTTAGTAAATCACATCAAGAATATTTATTAATGTCATTGTCGTGTTTTCCCTTTTCTTTGAAAGTTTGAAGGCTGAGGTTGGCACATAAAATGCATCGAGCGCCAAACCAGAGAAGAACTGTGATATGCAAAAAGATGTGCGATAAAATGCCATATCATGTTTTTACAACAGACAGCCAAAACAATTTCAATAGCTTGACAAGAAATTTGTAAGACTAAACTTTAACAGAGCATTAAGCACTAAACTAGAGAAGCCCGCATCTTTACAAAGTATGTAACTGCTGTGTCAATAATAAAGTGTTCTTTCCTCAAAAAAAAAATTCTCGAAAATAATAAGGGCTACCCTTGAAGCACAAAGTAAAGTACTTTTTTTTTTTTTTGAGGGGGGGGCTTTGCCTATTCACCTTTGCTCTGTCAACATGCACCAGCTTGAAAGCCAAATATCGTGTCTTGGATATCATAAACAACCCTAAATGATCTCATTGCTCTGTTCCCCAAAATTTGAACCCCCTTTACATTGGCACCATCTGGCTGAAATGTCAAGCAAATATCATCGACTGAATTCACATAGAACAGAACCATTCGTAGCATCACGGCATACATTTCAAATTTCATCTCTACTTCTGGTAAGTCATTCCAGTCTGACAGAGCAAAGAGCACGGCCCCCGCGTCGCCCCCACGCAGGCGACACGGGAGGCGACCCAAACCCTAGCCGCCTCTCTTCCTTCCTTCCCCTCCCTCTCTCTAGCCGCGCCGTCGCCGGAGCAGGCCGCCGGCATGGCCGTGCAGCTTGCCGTGAGGGCGGCGGCGAGGCTCTTCTTCGCGGTGGAAGCTGCGACGGTCGGGGACGAGCTCACGTCCTGGGGCTCGGCGTGGTCGCTGGGGCAGGTGGTGGCGCCGGCGTCTCCAGCGCCGGTCTGGGGTAGCCTCCTCGCTTCGGCGTCCGGATCCGGCGGTCCGACGGCCGGATTCGCGTGGATCTCCGGCGGGCCACGCCTGGGCAGGCGTTGGGCGGAGGTGGCGGCGGCTCCTCGGATCCGCGGGTCCGGCGCCCGTGGTGGCGGCTGTGTCGCCCAGGGCCAGGTCTCTTCCTGTTCCTCGCGCTTGGTGGCGGCGTGCGCAGTAGTGGGGCGGCGGGGCGTTCCCACGCGCGAGCCGCGTGGGGCTCGGCGGGGCCGCCTGCTGCGGCTGCGGCGTTAGCTAGTGCCCGTGCAGGCGCCGGGCGGTGGCGGGGGCCCTTTCTTCCTCCTCCGCTTCCCCCTTTCCTCCTCGGCCTTGGCGTGGAGGTGGCGACGCCAGCGGGGGTCACTGGGTCTGGCGCCCTGATGGCCAGATCCGGTGCCCCCAGGGTAGGGGGCAGCGCCCGAGGTGGGGCATGCGCCTGTCAAAGGCTGGCGAAGGTCGGCAGCGTCGACGGCGGGTGCTTGTGCCGGCGACGATAGCTGGCGACAACTTCGGCGTGCGGCAGGGTGACGCGCGTGGCAGGGTAAGTCCACCTCCACATGTTGCCTGGTCGGAGGGGGTGGCGGCCGACGCAGCTGTGCGGCTGCTGTGAGCAGCCGGCGCGTCGAAGCCCCTCTGGAGGGGCTTCTGCGGGATGGCGGTGACGACGACGGTGGCGACAGACTACGGTACGGCATCTTGGCTCGACGTTTGTGCTAGGGGCACCTTGGGCGAAAGCCTTGGCGACGGCGACGCCTGTGGGCGTCGTTTTCCTTGTTGGGGGCATCGTGTTCTTGTGCCCCCAGCCATGTCTTCCACGGGTGGAAACCCGATCCATTCCTGGACAAGCGACGGCAGCGCTATCTGCGTCGTACCCTTCCTGAAGGCGTCGCTGTGGAAATTCGTCTCGGCCGTGATGTCTCCTTCGGCGGATGTCCTTTGCCTCTTCGGCGCCCAGTTGACGCGAGACGGCGAGTTCTGCATCGGGAAGTCGGAGCTGCTGCATCAGGGGATCTAGCTCGGCAACGATGACGCGGGTCGAACCCTCCTTCTCCGACGGCTGGGTTTCAGCTTTAGAGGCTCAGCAATCGCCACGGGCGGGGCGTGGGATCAAGGCAGGAAGTCGGAGCTGCTCTTCGCGGAGCCGTTGAGCTCGGCAACGATGACCTGTTGCAGCCTCCTGCTTCAGACCCGTTGGTCTGACATCTTAGGATGGGTCGTCGGTGTTTGCTATGGGAAGTTGGAGCTGCTGGCTGCTTTGCAACCACGCTCGGCAACGATGACTCATGGTAGTGTGTACTCTACCGCGTTGCGTGGGTGGGCTAACCTTTCGCGGTGTTTGGCACCACGCTTGGTTACCTTTGCTTGTATATAAACTTCATTCGTCTTAAACTGCCATTGTTTCAAAAAAAAAGTCATTCCAGTTTGTCAGTTCACCAGTTGTAACAAAGCAAATCTTGTCCTTAACGCTTCCCCATGCATATCCTTTAGTTAGCATTGTAATTCTCACTGCCTTGTCAAGTGCATGAAATACTGGAGATAAAATAAATGTATCGGTATGAATCAACTATTGTCATTGTTGCAGTATAGATACAGGGATCAATTTTAAGCCGTATCCAATTGACTGTCATCTCAAGCTGTTGAATAGCATAGAACGGTAAGTGGCCATAACTGATCAATCTAGTCAAAGTCAACATAAGCTTTTCATCTCGAATATATGGTCTGATTGACAGAAACCCTTCATTCTCATGATCACTAGGAAAGCAGTATGAAAAGGCTCTACTGTTTGTCTGTATAGATTATCTGCACCGCAACAAAAAATGAAATCATCAATGGTGTAGTTGTTTGGAGGGGTGAGCTTATTTTGAGGGAAATTGGACGGGTGAGCTTGTCTTTGACAAAGTACCCAACTGAGTGTTCTCCCAATGCATATTGTATTCTGTAGAGGCAAGCATCTTGCTCGTGGACACAGCCAAAAAAAATACCAGAGTTCTTGTGCATGGCACGGCAGACCACAGTTGAGCACTTGACATTCTGGTAAGTTGAGGACTTGAAAGGGTTATCAGTCCAGCCTTTCCACTTTGCCAATAGCAGTGCATGTCACAGTGTCGACACTGAACCGAAGAGAGAGAGAGAGGAATCAGTGTTAATTGTCACAAGGTTATGAACAGCTGGTGTCCCAAGGCTGATGGTCACAAAAAAGGTAACTTCCCGCAGGCTGTTGTCCCTTATGCCGGTGGCATCTGGTATGTTTGTTGACTGGATACATGAAGGCACCAATGAATGATCTCTATGGAACATAGGAATCGTAAGGCTCCATCAGTATTCAAACTAGCACCTACAAGGAAAAGGTTTATTAGGTAATAAAATTTCAGAAAATGGATATTTGAATTAGCAACAAAAACAAACATATCAAGTGGAGAAAATAGAACAAAATGGAAGCTATAAATGATGATATTACAAACCAGGACCACTACTGTTGCATGATATAATTTAGAACTGGTGGAAGTGGGTCATAGCATTGTACCTAAAACTGGACTTGCACTGTCTGACAGGCAGAAATACAAAAACAAGTGCTGGAACAGTATAGCTTTTGCTGCCGTTTTGAGAAAAAAAAAACTATCCAACAGGCCCATTCTCATATAGCCAATTATATGTTATTTCAGAGTTTTAGTTTCGTATGGTTGAAATGTTATATCTATTGTACAACTGAGTTGCAGCAAAAATCCCCATCGTAGCTGAACTGAATTCAGAAGGGAATACATCAGTTTTACTTCTCAGGTGGGGCACAATACCTGAATGACACCGGTGAGCACTTGACTCCTAAACAGACTTGTATAATTTCACTAGTTCCCAATCAGTGGTCCAGCAATGTACTTAATTCCGATAACATGTAACGGCCAAATAATAACAGATTGTATAGCACTTTAGCAGAGACTAGAGATTGGTTACAACAGAACCTCCACTAAAACATCAACCGGCTTAAGGAATCGACAGCTAGATCAAAGAACATTTACCACGGCTCGCGAGTTGACTGGACAGTGGAGACAGCACGGGTCCACAGATCCGGACAGTTCTTGGGGAAATCAAACTGCCCGGGTGCCCCCGCCGATGTTTAGCCCCGTCCAGTGCGCACACTTGGGCGCAGTGAAGGGTAGGCGCTGGCCATGGCCGGCCATCTCCTAGAAGACGGACAGCGCGCTAGGCAGCGCCGGCGAGGAGCCGAGGAGGGGACACACCGGAGGACCGTCACGGGCGGCCTGATAGTCGTCTACAGTTGGGGGTCAGGTGCATTGGACGATCAAGAAAATGCGAGTGGCGGAGTTTTTTTTTCTGGAAAATTGGTTTCATACCATTAAAAAATCACGAGATTCGAAAAATACCACTTAAAGAACTCCGTTACGTAAAATAACACTGAAAGATACAACCCTTATCCGAAAGTGGCAATCCGTCCTGTTCAAAGGTAACAGCGTCAACACCGTCGATTCCCGTCCATCTAATAAAGGCAAAAACAAATCCAAGTCCCAGCTACTTGAGTAGGACATGGAAGATGCAGGGTGGCACCGGCAGCAGCTGGCGCACGATGGACGGCGGTGTCCGCATCGAGGAGGGCATCTCGGTAGCTCGAGCAGTGCATTGCAACGGCACTTCATGCGCGTGGCTGGCCGGTGGCATCTCGCTTGCGGGCGCGCAGTGGCTCGAGTAGCGTGGCCCGGCGGATGTTCGCGCATAGGCGCGCGGCAACTCGAGCAGGGCGGTCTGGCGGCTGCTCGTGCTCCGGCGTGCGGCGGCGCGAGCAGGTTGGGCGCGAGCAGCGGTGGCCGAGCGTGAGCAAAATCACCGGCGAAGATTAGGCCTCTTGAATCCGCGCAGCATGGACTCGAAGAAGACGCTATGGAAACGAGGCAAAGAAATAGCCTTGGGCAGATATCCCGCTGGCCTGTTGGCCCAGTGGGGTACCCACCATGGAATTTGTTGTGTGGATTAGCTCGACGGCCGCTCGTGCAAGTGTGTTTTTCAGTGTGACCTACGCCGGAGCTGAAGAAGACGAAAGGGATGGGATTTCCACGGGTGCTCACGTGGGAAGAAGGGAGGAGCAACGGTGGATTCACGTCATTAGCTCAAACCGTGACAGAATGGTAGTTTCAGGTAACATATTGTTTTTCGGTGGTATTTCACATGGCCGTGATATTTGAGTGGTATTTTTCGAATCTCGTCATCTTTGGACGCTATGAAACCAATTTTCTCTTTTTTTTAGCAACATGCGAGTGGGACGGCTCGATCACATGGGCTGACATGGGCCCAGATGTTGTCCAGGTAAGAATATCTGGGCCCTTCGGCCCACGGCTGCTCATCAATTTTGTGATCACATTATCCAAAGTCCAGAGAGAATTTTCATGTCAAGAAATGCTCGTGGCTCCGGTTGGAAATATCGCTGGTAATGTAAATCCTGGTCTGAACGCATGCGCTCTCGATGTCCCTTCTCGTCGTTGCTCTGCCTTGTGGCTTTGGTGGCTGTCACTAATCACTAGTACTAGCTCTTAGCGTTTATCACCAAGCAAGGCATCCAACGGAGGGAAGATATTTCGAGTTCCTGACTTCCTCTATGCTTTGCTTTCTTGGGGCATGGGCCAAGTAACATCATCCATATTGAGGAGTTTCCTCCCACGGCAAGATCCTGCTTGCGTCCTTGGGACGTTTCTTTTAGCCGTCCACATTTTCTGCCCTGCACTTGCATAGAAACTTCGTACAAATCACAATGAAGCGTCAGAAAAAACTAGCACGAGGCACTAGCGGGAGTCTGACCATCTAGATCCAGAGGCTCAGGTTATCCAGTTTCGATTTGCACACACATCTGATCTCACTCAGAGCATTTGGAGATGTCAGAGGCCCACCTCGACTAAGATACAGGTATTATTTACACTATTATATTACTATACTTACAACCAAGAATATGACATCCAGTAATTTCCGCAACTCTTTACAGGTAGTGAAGGACGCTAACTGATTCTTCTGTACTCGGTGCTCTGGTATATATGTTCATCTTACTCCCGTTAACTTATTCAACTTTCCTTTCTCTATTCGATTCAAGGCAGGACTTCACCGATTCGCTTCGTCCTTACCTACAATATTCCATCTGTTCGCAGGCTCTCCTTTAGTCCTACCAAGTGTTCCTGAGTCATGACAATTCATGATCTCTCTCACCTTTCGTCTCGTTGAACCCTGCAAGTGCCTGCCTGCAAATTAAGAAGCACTTCATCAGCATTCATCAAGAGGCTAAAGGGCAGCTACTGGCTACGCTTGTTTGCGCAGGTAAGGTATGGGAAACAGATAATTGCACAAGAAACGTACTAGCAGTCTAGCACTGTATACAGGACTCTCTTGCTTTACAGAAAGCATGCTTATTTGGAAAATTCAATTTATAGGAAATCTGTGCGAAAGGGGGCGCTTACAGAAACAGGGTTGGTATGGAAGCTGCTGCAGTGTCTGCAGCAGTATCTGGAATGTTGAAGCTTGTGGGGAACAAGTGAGCTCCACTGGTCTTCAAAGAGTACAGCTCTATAGTGGGTGTGAAAGAGGACCTCCGGGAACTCCAAGATCTAGCTCAGGAGATCAATAGCCGGCTGGAATCTGCAGGGGACAGAGCAATGGGGGATGCTCCATCGCTCAAAAAGTTGAAAGAAGCTGTTTACGAGGTTGATGATGTTGTGGATGAGTTCCAGCTGAAGGCTGAAAAATATGAAGCGGATAGTGGTTTTCTGTCAAGATACCTGCACACACAACCAAAAGCATTTGTATTTCAATGCAAGGCAGCCAAAAATATAAAGAAAATCAAGAAGACCTTTGATGACATTGTGAAGCAAATGGCTATTTTGAATTCAGTGGTTGGCCGTGATCCTGCTAGCTATATAAACAATACAGCTGTGAATAGGCAAACATTTCCCTTCGTGGATGGGGCAGCAGTGATGGGAAGAGACCAAGAGTTGCACCAAACAATATCTAAGCTGCTAGAGACAGATGACCAACAAAGACTCAATATAGTTTCTATAGTTCGACTTGGTGGCTCTGGGAAAACTACCCTAGCTCAGTTGGTTTTCAATGATGTAGAAACAATAAAGAATCATTTTACTGTTAGACTATGGGTTCATGTGTCTCAGGAATTTCATGTTGAAAAAGTTCTCAAGAAGCTATTTGACGCTATTCCTAATGAGAAGTCTGAAGGCCTTTCTTTGACGAATATGGCAAATAAAATCTCAGACAAGTTGACCAACAGTAGGTTCTTGCTTGTATTGGATGATGTTTGGAATGAAGACCGTAATAAATGGGGATAATTCATGGTTCTTGTGAAGAATGGTTCATCAGAAAGCAAGATTCTACTCACTACTCATAGTAGAAATGTTGCTGACGCAGTTGAATCTACAGCACTAATCAATTTGCCATCCTTATCCGAATATTACAGCTGGCAAGTATTTCAGCAAAGCTTCAGAAATGCTGTGAAAGATTTGAACTTTGAATTTCAAGAAGTTGGTAAAGAGATTGTGAACAAGTGCGGTGGTGTGCCGCTAGCAATTAAAGTTCTTGCAGGTGTCCTCCGTGTCAAGAAACGATTAGAACAATGGCATGCCATAAAAGAGAGTAATTTATTAAATGTTGAGGGTAAAGAACGTCAAGTATCTGCTTGCTTGTGGTTGAGCTATTTTAACTTGCCATCTCATCTAAAGCAGTGTTTCACAATATGTTCAATTTTTCATAAAGGTCACTTGATTGATAAAGACCAATTGATTGACCAATGGATTGCTCATGATATGATCCCAGAATGTGGTGTTAACTACTTGGAATATATTGGCGATGACTACTTTAGTCATCTTGTGCAAATGTACTTTATACAATATGTGAAGGAAGAAGTGGATGGGAAAGTTATATGTAAGATGCATGATTTGGTGCATGATCTTGCCAGATCCATTTTGGGTGATGAGATTTCACTTGTCGTGCCAAAGAAGGCAACAAATTTCACAAAGATCTGCCGGTATTTTTCTATAATGGAACACACAAGGCATCTTCCGTCTAAAAATACATTTAGAAAGGCACGTGTTATGTATATTGCTGGAGACGATGATTTCATATCTTGCAAGGCATCGAAGAATGCAAAACACTTGCGCAGTATCACTGTGGAATATGTGCATAGATCAGCACTCACAGCCATACTACACACCAAAAATTTAAGGTACCTTAACATTTCAAGACTGAAATATGAAACACTTCCTGAGGTTATTTCAGTAACTTGGAGTCTGCAAGGTCTTCATGTAACGTCAAGTGATATTGTCAAGTTACCTGAATCCATTGGAAATCTGAAGAAGTTGAGAGTGGTCAACTTGTCCTACTGTTTCTGTCTAACAAGTTTGCTAGATTCTATTGGCAATTGTGTCATGATTTCTAGCATAGACCTTTTTGGTTGTAAGAAGGTTGCAACGCTACCCAGCTCTATCAGCAGAAATAAAAGGCTAAGGGTACTGAGACTAGGTCGTACCAAACTTGAGAGGCTACCATCAAGTATCACTGCACTGGAGAATCTGGAGTGTTTGGACCTTCATAGCTGTTCTCAGTAGGTAGAGTTGCCTGAAGGCATAGAGAACTTGAAGAAGCTTGTTGTTCTGAACCTGCAAGAATGTCGAAAGTTACGAGGCATTCCAAAAGGGATTGCGCAGCTTACTCGACTAGGAAAGCTGGGACTATTTGTTGTTGGAAAGGATGAAAATTATGCACAAATCTCGGAGCTTGAAAATGTTAATAAGATCAGTGGGGAACTAACTATCCGTGGAATTGCACATGGTATGGACCCAGATGTTGCAGACAAGGAATGGTTGAAGCAGAAGACAAACTTACAGAGACTGACACTACTCTGTAAGAGTAATGTGGGGGTGAACTCTGAGAATCAGCTGGAAGGATTGGGACCACCACCTGGAATTAAAAGTCTAAAAAATGTCAGGTATCAAGGTCAGGAATGCACGCAGTGGATGTTGAAGCACATTGGTGTGGAAGTAGCTGGGCTTCCTCGCTTCCGACTGTTGAGCGAGTTTGAACTATCAGATTTCCCAAAACTGGAGCGTCTGCAGGGGCTAACAGAGTTGCCTTGTTTGGAGAAGCTTGTGCTCGAAAAAATGATTGCTCTTAAAAGCATAAGCGGAGGTCCATTTCCTTCGCTGTTGGAGTTAGTTATGAACGAAATGCCAAGTTTGAGCGTGGTTTGGATGGTAGCAGAGGGGAGCTTGGCTGATGTGGAAGGGGGGCAACTGGAGATTGGTAATCGTCTATCAGTTCTAAGTATATTTGAGTGTCCCAAACTGATGGTGATGCCATACTTTCCTTTGTCGGTGAAGGACTTACGTTTGGCTAATGGCAACGTGCAGCTGTTGGGAGTGCCAGCATTACCTTCTTTTGGTTATAGCAGCCTAAAGAAACTTCAACTAGTAGCAGCGTCGTACGGATCTGGATGTCGATGGGAGCTGCTGCAACACTTGATGGCACTGGAGTCCTTGGAGATTTGGAGCAGCAAGGGCCTAATCGAGCTGCCAGAGAGCGTGCGGAGCCTTGCATCCCTCCAATCCCTAAGGATTTCATCGTGCTCTGCTCTCTGTATGCTTCCCGTGTAGCTGTGGGAGCTCCGGTATCTAGAAACGATGGTCATTTCAGGGTGCGGTTGTTTGCACCCTGCTCCATCAATGCAGCCGCTCAAGGTCCTCAAATCACTGGTTATTTTTAACAGTGGGTGGGTGGGGGACCTCTGCTCTCCGTCACTACAGACTCTGGTGTTTGGTGATTGTGATGGCATAAGTAGCCTCCCCCAATCATTCAGGATGCTCACCTCACTCACAAATCTCAAAATAACAAGATGTCGTGACTTTCACCAGCTATCAGAATGTCTCGGGGAGCTCCACTCTCTACAAAAGCTACACAACGAGTTATTACCCAGGCTGAGCAGCCTTCCACAATCATTGAGGGGGCTCACCTCCCTCCAGGAGCTCCGAATAGAATACTGTGATGCACTTGCCCAACTTCCCGATTGTGGCCCCGTTCGCTTGTCTTAAATTTGGCTTGTTCGGCTTATTTTTTAAGCCGGAACAGTGTTTTTCTCTCACAACAATTCAACCGGAACAGTGTTTTTCAGCCAGTTTCAGCCAAAGTTCAGACCAGCCAAAGTTCTCTACGCATATTCAAGATTTTGGGTTTGCCGAGGCTGACGTGCCTTCCCCAGTCATTGGGGCACCTCACCTACCTCCAGGAACTCGGAGTAGGATACTGCGATTCACTTGGCCAACTGCCCGAATCGCTGGGGGGAGCTCCACTCTCTAAGTAAACTCGTGATATCGTGGTTGCCGTTCCTGACTTCCTTTCCTAATTCTATGTGCTGCCTCACCTCCCTTGAAGAGCTTACGATTACGCATTGCCGGCACATGAAATCCTTGCCAACGTGGATTAAAGGCCCCACCGCTCCGCACATACTGAATATCTTTGGTTGTCCTGGTCTGGAGTGGTGCTGCAAGAGAAGGAAGGGAAAGGACTGGCATCTCATCTCCCACATCCCTCATCTAAGGATTGGGGAAGACGATGGCCATTACCCCTTCATCTGGTGAGTTCGTTAAACTCTGACGATTGGTGCCCTTTTGCCTTGTGCAGATTCATGGCTAACCTAATTCCTCATCCATCTTAATTCGATCATTGCAGAGATGTTCAAGGTCTACATGTGTGCTTCAGGTTTTGTGATGCAGTTTGCTTTGGGCGTGTGCTGTCTGCTGTGTGCATTGTGCACATGTGAACACTCTTACAGTATGGAGTTTGGGTACCCAAACTCCGGTATCATTGACTTGCAATGAGAATTCTGAGGTATTATATATATTTCTCAACGCCATTGCTGTTAGTACTCAAGCCTGCATACCGATAGCGTCAACTGATTGCACAAGCAAAACACATATTAAGAAGGTAATTCTCTAGTTTCCTTCTCTCTCTCTCTCTCTCTCTCTCTCTCTCTCTCTCTCTCTTTCTTTTCTTTTTTCTTGCAAAAAAGGGTCCAAGCACCACCTGACAAAACATCAAACTTACAGCAGATGCATCATGCATGTGCGAGGTTAATTTAAACTCTGATTTAAGGTAGACCAGGCGCATTTGTATTAATTGATTCTGTTGTGGTGGTGTGCAGTTCAATGGTTCAAGCTCATTTTGCTTTTGTGAAGTACATGGCTTGGTCAGATCATGTTGTTGTACAGTGTCTTTCAAGCTGTAGGGTCAGCCTGTTTCCATTGATGGAAGGTACAATAACAGAGATAAATCTGAACTCCTGAAGTGCTGTGAAAACGTTTTGCAATGTTTTATTGGAAAATTTCTGCTGCTATTCATATTCTTCAGCGCAGACAGACCTGCTACCTAACTGATTAGTGTGGCTCATGTAGCACCCCATATCTTGGGTTCGACTCCCCATGGAAGCGAATTTAAATAGGCGTGGATTAAAAAAATATCTTTTGCTGGATGTGGTCATAAGTTATACGGTTGTGATTGGTTGCCTAGCTACTCAACTTAGACCGGTCTCAATGGGTTTGTTTGGTTTGTGGTCTAAACTCGCCTGGCTAGGTTTGACAGTTAGATTGTGATTGGTTCCCTGGCTTCGACTGAGTGTGCTTACCTTGGCTTTGTTATGGTGAGTTTACATCTCTTTAGGCATTGCGTCGAGCACCTGCCGAGCAGGCCTAAAGCCTTGCCTTCTATTTATTGACTATAAGAACTACACTTGAATATAAGCACCAGAATTGCTGAGATTTGTTTGGCAGCAGGCACGTTTTAGCAAGCAAAAGTAAACAACAACAAAGGCTTCCTATACACTTAACTTGACAGAAACCAAAATGCTAGCAATTTTGAAGGTAAAATGAAAATCGCTCAGCAGCCACAGTGGTAGAACAACGCCAATGATTGTCATGACTGTTGATGGTAATACAAAATAAATTCTTCGAGTGAATCAAACCGGCAAATTCGAAGAAAGGCACATACCTTGGGGGCGGGACCGGCCGGAAGGTCGACAGCAACGTCGGGCTCCGGGGCCTGGCATCCGCGTGGCTACCGGCAAGTCGCACCACCTCGGTCGGCCGGAAGGTGACGAAAGCGCCTCTGCCTCTAGAGCCAGGTTCCTCATGAATCCCCCGCGCGGCCTACAGCCTCGCTTGATGCTGCAGCATCCTCTTGATGAGCTCCGCGATGATGTCAGCTGCCTCGGCGGCGGCACGCATGGACACGGCGTTCGGCCGAGCTTGCTCCATGAAAGCGAAGATCTTGCGATAGATGGAGTATTGGTAGTCGGCATTGTCAGCGGTGCGGAAGACACCGGCGTCGAAAGGTTGTCTGGCAGGTGAGGGAACTCAACGGCCCAATTCGCTTCGCTGAAAAAACAAGCCAAAACACTGTTCCGGCTGATTGGTGTGAGAGGAAAACACTGTTTCGGCTGAAAAATACTTTTATAAAAGAAAAACACGCAGTTGATTACTAATGATATGGAGAACTAACCAGACAGACTTGTATGGTTTAGCATATCACCAGGCCCACGAAAACTAACAACAAAATAGCTAATGAATGTCTAATGCCTATCTCTTTCACAAAACCACATCTCTTTTGAGGTGCTACTCTTGAATAAACTTCTAATTGCATGTCTGAAACCTTAAAGCGCATTAGAAAAAAAGATCTTGCTAGTGGCTCCACATAATCTCAGCAGCTGAGCAAATTCTACGCTCTGAAGTGTTATCAAATACAACTTCGCACTAAAAAAACCACACAAAAACAGTCATTAGTAGGATGGACATGTAGAAACTAGTAATTAGATGAGATCCGAGCACAAAAACCCAAATAGGTTACGTTAGCTAGAGTTTGGGTGCTTGGTTTCAAGGGAGAGCAAAGGGGTGGGCATACCTGGTGGGTGCTGCGTCACGGCTGAATGGCGAGGGGCCGATTTAACACCGTGCTAAGGGATGACACCAAGGGACCCGACGAAGACACGACAGAGGGAGGAGGAGGCGGCGACGGCCGTCGCCCAGTCGATGCCACCAAAAAGTGAGGCCGCGCCGCGAGTGAGGCCGTCTTAACATATTAATTATTTTCCTAATCTAATCTTTCCCGGATGAGGGTGGCAGCGGGGGCGTCGGCGCCCCTTCTCTTGGCGTGCGTAGCCCTCCTAGGGCGCACTGGAGCTGGTAGAGGCTGGCCAGGGCCCTCCTTTGGGCCTCGGTAGGCCCAATAGCTCTAGGTTGGGGGCCTCTCATCAGACGTATGACATCACTCCCCCCTTCTCCACTCAGCACGTCCTCGCGCTGAAGCCAAGTCCATTCGTTGACGCCCTCGAGAGGTAGATCCTGTCCTGATAGAATGGCCTCAATGTGAGCAAGGAGATGACCACGCAGCTCGTATCATGTTGTCCCGCGTGCGCTCCAGGACGAACTCCAGGCAGTAGAGGAGGTTGCCGATGTAGCCGTAGAAGTAGTAGTTGTATGGTCTGGCACCTCTGCTTGATCCCGTTGTCTAGCGTGCTGCCACCAGGAGAGGTCGATGAACAGCGGTGTTGATGGTGAAGTGGAGCACATCCCGTGGTGACGCGATGAAGTTGTGGATCCTGTTGGTGATGTCGGGAACGAAGTAGGTTGGAACGTGGCGCCAAATTGTAGCGCTGGAGCGTGTGGATGGCGTCGTCATCAAGTCCAACATGGTGCCAAACATGAAGTGGCCCATGTCGAACTCGTCTGGCGAGAGGCGATGAAGGTTGGAGTTGGAGCGTAGGGCGATGTCGACGTTGTCGACGCGGAGGAGCTGATGACCCAAGGTGTCGATAAAGATCACTGTGGTGGTTGATACCGTGCCCTGTGGCCAAAGGCGCCCTAGCAGGATGCCTGTTGGTGCGGCATTGTGGTCGGGTGTCGTTGGAGATGGGTGGCAACCGAGTTCTAGGAGCACCAGATTTACTGGTCCCCCGCGAAGTAGCACCTGCAGAAGATCAGGTAGTAGTGGCGATACTGCTGGAATGTAGAAGCATCTGTCGAAGAAGAGTAGTCCTCGATCTAGCTCCCAGGCTGGAGCAGTTGTGCCATTGTTGACGGCGAGAGCGAGGTGGCGTAGCTCCTGCTGTTGCAGGATGGCTCGGCGTAGATGGGCGAAGACGTCGTCGATGGTGCTGGCGTGGTCCAGAGTGTTGGGGCGTCGAGACCGGCTTGCCCAGTTCATCATGTTGCGAGGAGGTGAAGGTGGAGCTCGTGGCGCCTGCCGGATCGGAGGTGGGGTTGGCATGACTCGGTGGCGAGCGTCAAGGTTGAGAGGTGGTGAAGGAGATGGGGTGACCGTTGTGGTAGTACTGGAGTTCCATGGTGGAGAAGTCCCACGTCAACCGTCCAAGGCCGGCCAGCCATGGCGTGCCCAGGATGATGTCGATGTCATTGCCGATGTCGAGGAGGAAGGCGTCGATGTAGAAGATCTCCGCATCAATGCGGAGTGGTACGTTTAATGATGCCACCCGACACGAGACCTTGTTCTCGCTGCCGACGAGGATGGTGGTGTCGATGTGCTGCTCAAGGAGCCCGATGAGCCAGGCAACGTTGATATCGATGATGTTGTGGGTGGCGCCTGTATC